AGCAGTGCCGCATCTCTACTTAGTTAAGAATACCAATGACAGAAGCTGATTGTGGGTGAAGCAGCTAAACAATTAGCTTTTTTTCAAGGACCCCCCAGGTTTTTGATATTGAGACATTCTCTGAGACATTCAAGTGGTTAATTAGGTGGTTCCAGACCACCCAAGACACGCTGTATTTTGCACCTTGGAACAGTAAGGATTAAAGCACACTTTGAATGCTTTTTCAACATACTCACAAACATAAGATTCATCCGCTTGGGGAAGAGTTTCGAAGCACAACCGTCTCCAAAAAATGTTTTTCCACATGTTGCATTCAATTACACATTTCTACCAGAGAGGTCTCCACATCCCCAATACTTACACAGTGCAGCTTTAAAGAAGTGTGTTTGCATGCACAGCAATAATACAGTCTTTGTAAGATTTCTGTAGGTGTCTGATTATTCAAGTGGTCATGTAAACAGCATAGTACGTATTTCTTATATTGGATTATGAAACCTGGATTTTAGCTCAGTAAACGAGTTTTTCAGTTCATCTATACCCTTACTCTGATTTTGCATCATTGATTCTCAATGTTTCTCCCATTATCTGATTACCCAAGTGTATGTCAAAACATTGAACAAATTACTGACAAAATTCTGTCCAAACTTTTCAAACCGCAGAAAAATGAAATATCATGATACGTACCGTAAATCAAGAAAATGTTTGCAAATATTGTGATATATTTTCATGTCGCACAGCCAGACACTACACTGCTGGAACTGTGTATAAAAGGCCGGTAGTTCCTACAAGGATTCATCTGATCTGGATGTGCATGTGAATTAAAGCTCTACAAGCTGTACTTAACCTCATACTCACTGTTTTTGATTCACTGTGCCGGAGTACAGAACCAAAACAACAAAAACTGTTTCACTGTCCGATTGCTTACTCGCTGCACTGTAGCTCTGTTGTTACAGTGGCTGTTGTAAAAAGAAGTGAGAGAACCAAGGCCATTTAAAAATCCCTCTCCATCTTTCATCTCTGTTCCTCCTCAATGACTCCAAACTGGGTAAAGATGGCGAACAGACGTGCTGGTGAAATTCAGCCTTATTCTTGTTATTCTCTCAGTATGCTGTGTGGAATAGGGAAGGGTTCTTTTGCAGGGCCAGCGCCTTTTTAAATTAAGCCGTTCATTTAGAGGGGGGATGTATTTTAATCATACATAAGAATCCTCTATCTCGTATGCGTGTCTGGCTAATTATGCTTTGTCTCTTCCGGTGGTGGAAACATCGGGCCCTGGGGCCGTCTTTGATATTTAAATGATATCCACAGCCTGGGTGAGATGAAGAGACGAGAGGATTTTTTGGAAGTTAGAGAGAGATTGGGGGGTTAGAGAGGGACAGGGAGGGGAAGAATGATAGAAAGAGAAAGAGGAAAGAAAAACAAGAAAGAAAAGAGGAGAGAGGGAGGGGACGAAGAATAGAGAGTGTGAGTGAAAGGGGAGACAAAGAGAGAAAGAGGGAAGGCAGAATCATATAGAGAGAGAAAATGAGGGGGAGAAGGAGAGAGAGAGAGAGAAGGATAAAGAATGAACAGGAAGAGAACAGGAGGTGCTGGAGACAGGTACAGAAAAGGCTGCAGTAGATACAGGACTATATTTAGGAGTATAATGTGACTTCTGCTTTGTGTTTTGTGAGGAGTTCCACCTCTGTGTCCTGCTGCAGTTGTACGGCCTTTTGGAAGCCTCTGCTAGGCTGAGTAACTCTGCTGGACACACACAGGTGAAGCAGGATTTGGTGTGACAGAGTTTTGACAGGGTGCTCCAGTGGATCTGTCCGCTGTAAGGTTAATGAAAAATGAAGCTCTGTCTGGACCCATGAGACACACACTGGTTATCCAGTCTCTTCTGAGTGAAAATGCTGTCTGTATTCCACAGATTATCATGAGTTACGTGATTTTTTTCAGAAGTACTGACAAAATTCAAGCTTTGAGATAACTGCTACTACGGTTTTAGCTGTGTAGCATACTTTTGTCAATTTTTATAGATGACTGTATGTCGTGCAGTGTCAGAAACCACATACACAAATCTGTTTGAGGCAAGTGTGTCATAATTTAAGCATACAGTTTGCATGATTAGGAAACAGTCCAAAGTTCCCTCATTGAAATTTTATAGGAAATTTTATAGGAACTCTGTAATCCCTATGCTTTCAGCCCCAAGTTGCCTCTCTCATGTTTCCTCAGGTTCTTCAGGAGCTGAACCTGTCCAGATATCATTGTGATCTGACACAACATCCATTTTGTCTATTTTTTATAATCTCTATTTTGTCTGTCACTTAATATTACAGAACTATGACTTTCAATTGGCTACATTCAAATTATACAGTAAACTACTCTATCCATTTGTTACTTTGCTATGCTAGCTTGCTAGTTAACAAGCTAAGAACTACACAACTAACAACAACAACAAAGCAGTGCACCACAATTAAACCAGACAAAGGATTTATTCTAAAAGTGTATTTTTTCTATACTCTGATGTATCAAAAAAAGGGTTAAAAAGGGTTCCATTATTTGTTAGCTAAATTAGCCTCTTAGCTTCAGTTCAAAATTTTGGAAGCAAACTTTAGATGCCAAACTTGTCTTGGCTGATCAAATACATTTGAAATAAGAATAAAATTGTGTACATTTGATGTTTTGTAGCACTGTGCCTTATCATAATCCACATTCAGTGAAGCATAATTGTTTTCTTTTAGCAAAAGGCATCTACATCTTTTAGCCTTAACATTAAAACCTTGTCTCCTTGTTTCTCATCAGCTCCACTTACTGTATAGGTGCACTTTGTAGTTCTACTATTACAGACTGTAGTCCATCTGTTGCTCTGCATACTTTGTTAGGCCCCTTAAACCCTGTTCTTCAATGGTCAGAACCACCACAGTACCACCACTGAGCAGGTATGATTTGGGTGGTGGATCATTCTCAGCATGTTAGTGTGTGTTGTGCTGGTTTGAGTGGATCAGACACAGCAGTGCTGCTGGAGTTTTTAAACACTGTGTCCACTCACTGTCCACTCTAACAGACACTCCTACCTTGTTGGTCCGACTTGTAGATGTAAAGTCAGAGACAGCAGCTCATCTGCTGCTGTACAGTTTGTGTTAGTCATCCTCTAGTCCTTCATCAGTGGTCACAGGACACATGACACTGTTGGCTGGATATTTTTGGTTGGTGGACTGTTCTCAGTCCAGCAGTGACTTAAAAACTCCAGCAGCACTGCTGTGTCTGATCCACTCAGACCAGCACAACACACACTAACACCATCACCACATCGGTGTCACTGCAGTGCTGAGAATGATCAACCACCCAAATAATGATTAACCACCAAATGAATGTAGAAACATGGTGGTTTTAATGTTATGGCTGATTGGTGTACACACTTAGGACAAGTTTCTGACACTTTATCATTTGATTTCTTTGTCTATTACTTTCTATACCACAGCCAAATTTTCCACCAATGTCACATCCTTTTTAAAAGACAGTGCACAAGTAAGACTTCTCCAGAGAGGGGCCGTATCTACAGGCAGGAGAGAGGAAGATGGAAAAATGGAGAAATGTGCTGTGTCACTGCCAAGAGAGAATGTGCTTATCTGGCCACTTTGTCATTTTCCCTGGCACATGCCATCAATAATACATTACAATAGAGTGCATAGCCTCCATGACTGGTTAGTGTTTCTACTCCAACACTCTTATATAAAGCACTTTAGCATCTAAGTTGCTAATGCTCAAACACTCTGAAGTGTTTCTCTGCTTTAGCTCCGGCAGTGCTCTGGTGTTCTGCACAGTGTGGCATTTGCTTCTGTTTTAACACAACCTTGTCTTGATTCTTCATTTTTGCTTCATTTCATCACAGGAGCTACAAGGCTAACATTGCTAACACTAAAAATCAGTAGTCACTCAAATATATTCCGTAAATACAACCCCAAAGATTCTCTCAACCCACTCCAACTGCATCCAGTGTTAAAGTTATGCCATTTGATTTGACTCTTATTTGGATAACAAAAAATGGGGTCTGTTTTATGAAGCACATCGAACTTACATAGGGTTCTGGCTCAAGTTTCAGCTTAATTAAACATAACTAACACATCTGCGATTAACTTTTAACAATTAACAACTTTCTCTATTAACCCAGATTTCGATACTCAGGCTGTGATTAATCTTTGTGCACATGAAATTTGATGTTTATGACAGACAGTTGCGTGAAACATAAGAAGTTGTCGAAAAGCAAAATACTACGTAAATATGTTGATAATGCTAAAAAACACTGTCTCCACTGCCACTGTTAATGCTTACTGCCCTGGAGCAAGGTAAGCATGTTAGAGGTAATGGTAAAAGTGATTTGCCAGGGTTAGGGCAGTCTATGCTGAAAGTTAGCTGGGTAAGCAAGAAATCCTGCTTTGTGAGACATATACCTGGATTCAGAATGCTGAGACGGTTATTTGTAAGCAAGACAGATAACCCAAAAATAGTCTTGCTTAGGGGCCCCAAAAGGCTAGAGCCAGCCCTGCACGTTAGGTCACCATGCCCAATGCCAAACATTGGCTAGAGGGGCATAAAGCCCCCAAGCATTGGGTTTTGGAGCAGTGGAACTGTGTTCTCAGGAGTGATGGAGCTCAATCCAGTGCCTAAGGGATGAGTTGCAGTGATCCAGAGCTGATCATCCATCATCAGTACCTGACCTCACTAATGCTGTTGTAGCTGAATGCAATCAAATCCTCACAGCAATGTTCCAACATCTAGTGTAAAGCCTTCCCAGAAGAGTAGAGGCTGTTACTGCAGCAAAGAAGGACAAACTCCCTATTAACACCCTTGATTTTAGAAGAGACACTGGATCAGCAGATGTCTAGAAACTTTTGGACATGTACTGTAGCTTTGAGTGCTCAATATGATTAACTGATAATGAATCTCCATATTGAGAGTCAACCTTTAGAAAAATCTTCTCAAATCTTTTCTCTCCCTCTTCCTCGCTCTGGCAGGGTTCGGCTGATTCCTACACTAGTAGACCCTCGGATTCCGACCTGTCCCTGGAGGAGGATAAGGAGGCGTCTCGGCGGGAAGCCGAGCGCCAGGCCCTGCTGCAGCTCGAGAGAGCCAAGGTTAGCTTAACTCACCTTTCATACTGACATACTCCTGCATTCACCGTCCACTTAGTGTGCTTTTTCTCCTCTTCTGTGCAGACCAAACCTGTGGCTTTTGCAGTGAGAACCAATGTCAGCTACTGTGGGGCCTTAGATGAGGACTGTCCTGTGCAGGGTGCTGCCATCAACTTTGAAACCAAAGACTTTCTACACATAAAGGAGGTGAAACTTAGTGTTTGGTTGTTAACAGTTATGGTTAGTCAGTTAAGTCACAGCTATAATGTTGACAAAGCTAAACTGAGGACATTTCTATGGTTTGATTTTTTTGGTTCAGCAGCCTCCTAGTTTAGTCATTCTATCATTGTGATAGCAAACAGGCTGTTATATTGAACAGCATCAGTAAAGTTGCAGCACCACTGACTGTATCACCACTGACAAAATTACTATTTTTAAAATATAGTCCACAGCCAGTTTAGTTTAAAAGTCTTATTGTATGTAAAAATTACAGAATGTTTCACCTTCAGTCACACCACTGATACAGTCTTTTTGCAACTCATGAAGCTGTCAGTATTTTTATTTTTAAAATTTTCAGGCATAAAAAAAAGATTTCACTAATCATGGACTTCCCAGAGTGCGTCTTTCCTCCTTTGAGATATCCACACAAAAAGCAGATGAAGAAGATCTTCCTGATTTTTTGTATTTGACATTTTATGTATTTTTATGTAACTGTAGACCACAAAATTAAAATTGTATTTAAAGTAAGTTTAACATATAACAGACATTACAAGCAAAACAAGCATCAAAATGTTTGTTTCACATGAAAATAATACTTCAGCATTTGTGAAAATGGACTAAAATAGAAACGCAAAAACAATAATTACCATAGTTTTGGTTGGTTAATATAGGTATATATAGAATAAAGAATACACTGCCATAAACTTTCTGTGTTTTTTTTTTTCTTATATTGAGCTCATTTTTATGGCTTCAGATTTGTGAGACACCGTTTGTCTAAGAAATCCTGCTTTGCAAAACTTGTTTAAGTTGTTTTGGTGGTGGGCTGAGGTGTAAGAGCAGTGCTTCCTCTTTGTGCAGAAGTTCAACAATGACTGGTGGATCGGGAGGCTGGTGAAGGAGGGGGCTGATATCAGCTTTATCCCCAGCCCTGTGAAACTGGAGGCCATGCGCCTCAAACAGGAGCTGAAAGCTGCACAGAGGTATAGTTCTTTTTTACAGGACCTTCCTGAAAGATTGTCATGACTTACAGTCAATACCCAGCATGTTTCAGTAAGGAGGCCAAAGAACTTTCTGCTGCATATTTAATGTAACTCACTGGGTTAAGCCTCACAAAGCAGTTGTTCAGTTTTTCATGTCAAACCAACTTGAAGATCATTTTATATCTTACATAAGTTCAAGTTCACACTATATGTATAAGTTGGGTGTTTTCACGATTGGGGTGCTTCTTAGTCCTAACTTGTGTTGTGACAAAAACAAAAAAACTAGTAAGCCTAGGCCACTGGTGAGTGGTTTTAGCAGCATTTCCACTCGTTATCAAGTGGGAAATCAAACAAAGGTCCGTACTGGGATACTTTTGGGTATGCCAGTCTATTTGTTGTCCATTCATGAGATTCCTGTGAGCAGATATTTCAAATTCCAAGAGTGAATCATGGCAAAAACTGTTGCTCTGAACAAATTTGCCTGCTTACTGTGGACTTCCATACCAATGCCCACATCCTGACCAGAACACACATTGGTGTCTTTTACAGCACCACCAAGTGGTCAAACATAAAAAATAGCAGTGAGAAAGAAAACAAAACGTAAATGACTCCAGCATAACTCTTAAAAAAGACTCACTTTTCAGACCAATGTAGATTATGTCTACAAGAAGGCAAGGCTCTCTCCTCAGGACGTTGAGGAGTTTTAACACCAGTAGCAATACTTTGATCATGGTCTACAGGTCACTTCCCAGTTCTCAGTTTCAACATTGTGTCCTGGTACAAGAACCTATCAGTTAAGCAAAGAAATAAGCTGGCCCAGGTGGTCAGCCAGGCCAGTAAGACCACTGGAGACAAACAACTGTCACTCCAGGACTTATACAGCCAATCCATAACCAAAAAGACAACCCAGGTCAAAAACGATCCTACTCACCCCCTTTATTCAATATTCCAGCTGCTACCATCAGGCAGGAGGTTTAAGGTCCAACTAGCTAGGAAGAATGGGTGCAAAAACTCATTTGTGCCCTCTGCTGTGACCATTCTGAACAAGGACATAATAAATAACCCCCCTATATAGTTCATGTGCATTGTTGCTGTAAGTACTTTGTGTTTTAAGTTTTTGTCTTTGTATTTAACTGCCAGATTGCCAAAGATAAATTTAAATTTTATGCAAATTTAATGGATAATAAAGGTTTAATCCATCTCAGAAATAGTATCTTATCTTTGCAGGGTTTCTTTTCTGACAAAAAATTAGTAACAGGTTTATAAGTAACAGGGTTGAGGTTTCAGCAAAAAATGAGCAAATACAAAAAATATGGTTAACTAGCATCCATGCTAATGCCATGATCATATTAAGGACATTCTAATGTTTTCCTTTTTTTTTAAACAAATTTACAATACAAAAGTACAATTTACTTAAACTCTATACTTTAGGTACCAAGGCTGTACATTCGTTTTTAACCTATATTGGGTGACTCATGAAAAAAGATGTTTCAAGCATTAAATGTTAAATGGATTCAAATAGTACTGCAAAAATTACATAATTTTTGAAGTATGTTTATGATAATATTTCAAGATAAACTGTGACTAGGGCAGTACCCCTCTTGTCACTGGGGTGGTATCCTCAAGGGTAAATCTCAGTACCTTTAGTCAGGGAACATAATTGTAACATAATCCATTGAAATTATATTTTCTAAGTTGTACTGACTCCACACACCCCGTCTCGTCTCCAAGCTTTTATTTTATTGTTCTGTTTTATGACTTTAGGTTATGAAAAGGTACCAATATGTTCTTTTCACCTGGAAAAACTTATTTAAGGTTCACAATTGGACCTTAAAACCACTGTTGTACCTTTGAAAGAACATTTACATTGTTTGTACCTTGATGCATGAAAAATGTACCTGCACAGAACCTTTATTTCTAACAGTGTTGGTTGTGAAGGACAATTTATTTGTGTTTAAAATGTGTATTAACTCAACTCCACATATATATTTTTGAAAGTAATATCACTGGGACACAAATGGAACCCTACTCGTGGAATCACCCAGTTGTTATTGGTGGTGGTGGTGATGATGATGGTGTGTGTGTGGGTGTGTGGGTGTGTGTGTGTACTTGACTTTTCTCACATTCCCATCTAACTGCGCTGCAATGTCTTACAGAAAACCAGGAGGGAGGCCTACACCTCCATCTTCAGGTAAAAAACAACAACAGTCCAAACGCACTTACAGTTCGAAATTCTACCGTTAACATTGTGTTGGTAGCTGTGCTGCATGCCTGTCAACATCACATGGCCTGTTTTACCCACAAACATTCCTTAAATGTTTGTCTTCTTGCTCTCTGAAAGCTAAACAGAAGCAAAAGCAGGTAAGTTGTTCTTGTTGCTTTTTTAGGTTTAGAACAGAACAGACTGTAGTATTGCTTACACACACACACACTCACACACACTCACACACACACACACACTCACACACACACACTCACACACACTCACACACTCACACACACACACTCACACAGACTTCTTCCTCTGCTTCTCTCTCTGTAAGACAAGTTTGCAAGAGATCCTTCTGTATATCATTACTGAGGCTGGAAGGCCAGAGGCGACTCATTAGTTGTTGGAGGATGTTAGTTAAGATTCAGAGTGTACACTAAGCTATGAGGCTTCAAAGAGGCTGTTTTTGTGTGCTTGATTATTTCAGACGGAGCATGTTCCACCCTATGATGTCGTACCCTCCATGAGGCCTGTGGTGCTGGTTGGGCCTTCGCTGAAAGGCTATGAGGTACGGTACACTCAGTTGCATTATACATTTTGTGACTTCAGTCGTTGAGATGTAAACAGAGTCATTCAGATTGGTTTGATGTGAAAAGATTCTTTGTAGAGAAACTTATAGACCCAGATTTCTTTACAGTGGTGGTGATAGGAACCAGAGGTCTCAGTGTCTACAGCACAAATATAGACATTTTATTTACTATCCAAAATGACCGGTGATCCCACACATGTCTTCTGAGTTTTTATGTGTAATGTTGATGATGGTAAATAGTGGTAAATGAACACCGTGCACCCCTAAAAATATGTTTTAAGCCAAAACATTATCTCAAAACTATCATGAAACAGTTTCTCAGGTGTCAGGCAGCATATTTATAATCACTTCATGAAGTAACTTTCTGTGAGGGAGCTTTTAAAGGTGTTAAACTCTTCAGACGTCTGGTTCCTATCACCACCACTGTGAACAATTCTGACTGTTTTTGTTTTCTGTATGTTTTTGTTTTGACTTTATTTATATTTGAATGATTACATTGTGTAGATATTTTTTAAAAAATCTGTGGAATTCTCATTGAATATATAGCTGAAATGCTCCGTTAAGATAACTAGGGGTGTAATTCTTTCACAATGAATCACTTTGATTATTATTACAGATTTTTTAAAACACTGAACACACAAAAATGACAGGAGAAACTGTTTATGCAGTAGCGGAATATATACGACAAAACCAATACAACATTTTGTTTAGCCTAGATTTTTAAATTAACACATTCTGTATGGAATCTTATTATAATGGACCTTCACAACACAATAATGCATTTCTACACCCCTGGGGATATCTATTCAGTGACCCTGTTTTCAGAATCTTTATTAATTTCCAAGAACTACTCCTGATGCAAATATTAACATAAATTTAAATAAAATAAAACACATAACATACATAATGCACAGTATAACTCTACAGCAGGCATGTCAAACTGGGGACTTTCTGGGCCAAAGTGCTGCGGATATTAGCATTTACCCTCATCTAACGCTCTGAATTCAGTTCATGAAGGCCTTGCTAATTAGCCGATGAGCTGAATCTGGTGTGTTTAATAATTCAGCTTGCTAAAGTCTGAAGTGTTTTGGCCTGCAAGGACTGAAGCCTGACACATGTGCTCTACAGAAAACATATAAAAAGTGAAATAGGTATAAAATGTACAATTACATAATAAAAATTGAAGATGTGTACAGTTATACAATATGTTAAATATGGATAAGCCAATGTTGTATTACACAAAAGACTGAACAATTAAATATAATATCAGCATTTTCAGTATTTAATGTGTCCACTCTTTGCCTTTATTACAGCTTCTGCTCTTTTCAGGAGACTTGCTTTCAGTTTTTCAAAGAAATCTGCAGGGATATTTTTCACACCTCCAAAGTTTAGTTTGCATTTTCTGGTTCTCACTGTCCAAATAACCACAGTTAAAATTTAGACACATCAGTCCGTAAAACCTTACTCCACATCTCAGATGTCCAGTTTTGGTGTTCTAGTGCAGATTTTCTTCTATTTTGTCGGTTTCCTTTTCTCAGTAATGGCTTCCTGACAGCTACGTCCTTTCAGACCCATCGCACTGAGTTGTCCTCTCACAGGATGGACAGAAACACCTGTGGATGTTTTTAGATCTGAAGCAACTTGATTTTCTCCTCTCTCTCAAAGATGAAAGCTTTAAGTACTGTTGTCTGATGGGGACAGTTTTGGTGGTCTATCAGACCTTGCACGGTTGGAGTCTGGTAGACCACCAATAGAGTCCATTTTCTTTATCGTTTAATAGTTTTTTGAAACTCCTGTTTCTTGCTTATGCACTTGTATTATTTTATAATTAATCTCATCAGAAACATCTGAAAAATGAATAACTTGTACTAATGTCCTTTACTGACTAGAAAATTAAGGAATGGTGGTCTCTAACTTTTACCCAGTACTGTACTTTTTTGGTTCCTTTTATGGCAAATGTATATTCAACTGATCACAGAATAGGGATGTAGGAAGAGTCCTTACTTAAGAGGATTAGGGCTTTAGGGCATAACGGCTACTTGTATTTGCATGCATTGAATCTTTGAAACTTTGTGTTGACGTAAGGATCTTTTTGTGTGGAGCTTCTGTGTAAAAAATTGATGCATGTCTGTGGCTCCGTAGCTCAGAAATGCTCTGGAGGCCTAAGCCGCTCATGCTCTGACACAGCAGGGAGTTGAAGCTGTTCTGCTGCGTCCGCTGCTGCCTCTCTATTTCAGGAGCCATCCATTTTTCAGCCTGAGTCTAAATTAAAGCACATCACCTCACCAGGCCACATTAAACTTTCACATGGCTCTTGTCCAAAGCCCCTCTGCTGCTGCTCTTTACCCTCCTGCTCAAGTCTGCCCCAGTACATTCTCTATAGTCACGCATCAGCTGTACATTCCAGCAGTAAAGCACCTCATTTTAGTCATCAATCAGGTTGGCCTTGCCTTACTGAGGTAAATGTATTAAAAATATTTCTTTTCTCTCCTCTCGTCCAGGTGACAGATATGATGCAGAAAGCACTGTTTGACTTCCTCAAGCACAGGTTTGATGGAAGGTAAGTCCAAAAGCAGCTTATTATCTTTTAAATGATTTGAGATGGATGCTTTGGAGGTCTTCCAACACCTTTTACTATGTCTTGGCAGGATCTCTATCACACGAGTGACTGCGGATCTGTCTCTAGCCAAGAGGTCTGTGCTAAACAAGAAGGCCATCATGGAGAGGTCCAACACACGCTCCAGCTTAGGTGAGTGAGGGAACTTAGGCCCTATTTAAACCTGGCGTTAACAGGTGTCCTGGGTGATCCCCCAGATAGCATGCGAAATGTGGGCTACTTCTGGCAAACATGCAGTACCAGTGACCCACTGACCACACCGGCAAACTGGATGTGTAGTTGGTTCACACGACCAGATCTGGGTGACTTCTGGCAGAGATATGGCAGTACGTTGGCCTATGTTTTTGTATGCTGTGTATTTTGTATTAGCTGAAAAAAATAGGTGGTTCAACACAATCTGCCTCAATATTATGAACACTACTGAATGGTCTGCAATTTAATTTTAATGTGGTATAAAATTATTCATTTTTAAATGATTAAAATTAGAAGCAGCTGTTGAAGGATAGTGTAGTGGGTAACACCTTTGCCTTCTTCACTGTAGACTGGGGTTCAATCGCCCACCTTGGTAAGTACCCTACACTATACCCATAAGAGTCCTTGGGCAAGACTCCTAGCACTACCTCACCTACCCGTGTAAAATGATCAAACTGTAAGTCGCTCTGGGTAAGAGCATCTGCCAAATTGCCATCATTCCACAGCGGCAAGTGGGCCAGATGAAAGTAGTAAATTTGAGCCATCACTCATTTTCTGTCTGGGTAGTGCAGGTGTGAACAGGGTATGCATTGTGATCTGATCACTCAGACTGTCTCTTGAGATGATCAGGGATGCATATGACCACATAATATTTGTAATGTGAACATTAAAGCTTCCTCAACAGCATCAAAGGACCTCCTTAATCAGCTGCATCATCACAGCACAGACGAAAGAAGCTGTCTAAAGTAAAAGTACTGTAATCTCTATGGGTGAAACAAAGCAAACAAATCAGTTAACAAGTGTGCTGCCATATGTCAATTTGAATGTGAGTCACATTCTTTTTGATTCATTAGACAATCCAATTTTCTCTAACATGCGCTGCCAGAAGTAGTCGAGTGAAAAGTAGCAAATTTTACTTTAAAAAGTAGTGTAATACGTGAAAAAAGAACAGTTTGAATTACATGCACTTCATTACACTTCACCCAAAATTTCCCACTGGAACTTTCAAATAACATTACTATCATAATTGCATTGTAAATGTTCGTACCTTGCTTTTATGCAAAAACTATTTCCATTTGTCTTTGCTTTTCTCAGTGATTACATTCTTGTCTTGTGTTTCTAGCGGAGGTCCAGAGTGAGATAGAGAGGATATTTGAGTTGGCGAAGTCTCTGCAGTTGGTGGTCTTAGACGCAGACACCATTAACCATCCAGCACAACTGACCAAGACATCGCTCGCCCCCATCATCGTCTATGTAAAAGTGTCTTCTCCAAAGGTACAGCAAGGGTGCTGTGATGAGTCTCCCAGCCACTTAAACACCTCATATACAGCTGTCACTCTCATATACTGCCTTGACACATGCAGTTTCACTACTTGCAGGAACAAATGGGGACATTTGCGAAGTAACATTGCTTTTGTTTTGAGTACTAATGGTGTTACTAGCTATCTGTCCTCACAACAGCTTGTTTCAGTTATGATTATTTAGGAAACAGTTTGATGCATCGTGAATTGCCGGCATGCTTTTTGATGGGCTGTCTCATTTCTGAATGATTTTTAATGTTTCTTTGCCTCAGTTACTCATCATGCTCTTTCGCAGGTCCTCCAAAGACTCATCAAGTCCAGGGGAAAGTCTCAAAGCAAACATCTAAATGTGCAGATGATGGCAGGAGATAAACTTGCTCAGTGCCCACCAGTGAGTGTGAATAGAACAGTATCAGTGCTCTACTGCCTGGCCTCTTGTGGCTTCACTCATCCTTCATTTTTTCTTACATTAGGAAATGTTTGATGTGATCCTGGATGAGAATCAGCTGGAGGATGCATGTGAACATCTGGCCGAGTATCTGGACATCTACTGGCGTGCCACTCACCTGCCAGGTTCAGCCCCCGTGAACCCCCTACTGGAGCAAAACGTGGTAACCCCACCCTCAGCTAACTCAAGCCAACAGGTGAGCACACTCAAACCACATGTTCATAACTGATATTAAGGGGTATAAAACTATGACCTGACAAAAGTTATTCTTTATCAAATTGTTGATTGTATCGCAATATCTATAATCACGTCTTCCCCATAATTCAATTCAATTTGCTTATTTTGGTACCATTCAGCGTTATTTCTAAAAATACAGGGGTGTTACAATTCAATTTATTATTCAGTTTGATATGAACGTTTTTTTTTGGCAAAGCAAAAAGATGTGGCTGAACATTTGCAGTACATTAATATGTTAAAGTTTCCATTTTCAGTTTTTTGACTGTAAAAGTACAATATTTGAAACAAAAGCTGTGAATTATAATGTCTGGATCTAACACTCTAGCCACAAGCTAATGTTAGCCCCAAGCTAACATGCTAATCACAATACAGTCCAATTCAGTATGTTACAATACAATATGTTGTGTTGCTACATCCTTACTATTTACATAGAAGTGAAATATAGCTCATAAAAACAATATGCCAGTGTTTTAGCACAAACAGCACAGTAATTTCATTTTGGCCCTTTTAATTAATTTCTAATATGACAAAACTGTTGCAGGTGAATCACCACCTTTGTTCTGATGCATCACAATTTTACAATTTGACACCATATTTGTGCATATAATCACTGTCGGAAAATGTCAGCTAATGTAAAGATATTTTATTACAAAGAATTTTGGAGAACTCCTGTTGATCCAGTCATCTTTATGTGTAATGTTCACATAATAGGATAACTGGTATTTTTGTAAATTATGTCACAAAAATATAAAATGACAAAATGTAGTTACAAGGTTTTATTCCAATGGCGACGATATATTAAACATTTCACCAGGCTCTGTCACAATCTGTTTCCCCAGTTCTCTGAGACTCAAGAACTGATTGAATGAGTGCTGCAACAGGCCTGGGTAAGTAATGGAATATGTCAGATGTGTATTTGCAAATGTATTTTGGTTATTTCTTGCTCTGTGTATTCTAGCATTGCTGCCTTTGGATCTATTAAGTGAGAAAAGCAAAATGCAGCATCATCCAGCCCTAATGAGTCCATTCTATTCTTAGCTTGTACTAAGGTTGGTCAGAGTGGCGCGGATCGTTCCGAAGCCTCCCTCAGTCCATCTCTCAGAGGCCAGCCACTCTCTGCCCCTGAGCGGGAGGAGCTCAGAGCAGCTGCCCCCTGAGGAGGAAGAGGAGGAGGAGAAAGAGATGAGGGTAAATGAGGAAGAGGACCAACCCCACCATCCTGAGCACACAGGAGGTGCAGCTCAAAGCCCACCCAGCACAGCCACGTGTGCCAGCCGCCACGTCTCAGGACCGCTCCGCTGCAGCACAATGCATACAAAAACACACACAACCAACACTGTATGTGGCAGCACACACTCACAGACGTGCACTCCATGTCCAAAAGTGTCCATACCCTCCTAGTTAATGAATTGGGGCATTTAAAACACAATCATTACTGATACAAGTGATCAGTTGTGCACACACAGCTTAGAAAGGCACTGCTAATAGGAACACACTGGAGCAATCACAGATAAGTTTGGCTTTATACAGTGAAACTTTTATGCAGTCTGAGCTCTATGTAAAACTAGGGGCATAAAAAAGAGGAGAAAATGAATCTGGTTACATAGGTCATGGTTACAACAGGTTGAAGAGGAATAATTGGTGGCACAAGCATCCGTTTAGACAGCTGTTGCTGATAGTTCGCTAGTTAAGGCAGCTCTTTATGGAAACATTAGCTTTGTGCTACCAACCACATACCAACCTTGCAAAAAGTTGATCAGGAGGATCCTCTTTTTTAACCGTCCGATAAACCATCTTCTGTTCTAGTGTCTTGTGCAATTGATCCGATGAAATCAGTCGTTTGAAATTACACTGTTTGATATGATCACATGGTGCGTTATTTACGATTTGATTTGCTGTTTCATGAAACTTTCATGACGCTTTGCAGGACACTTTACATTATGCAACTCAAGCACAAATTAGTTTCATGTAGGTTGCATGATAGTTTCACCATATAAAGCCAGTAATGTATGTTTGGCCTTGGATTGTAGAGCAGTGGAATCACATTTTTTGGCGTGATGAAGACCATAAACATCTTGAGTTGGAGTGCCGTTTGTGATCCAGAACAGTTTCCTCAGGAAAAGGCAGACAAACTCCCTATTAGTTTAGCAAAGAAATAATCAAATTTGCCCAGTTTTCCCATTATTCCAAGTGTAGTCACTAAGTCAGACCATCCTGGTGTCCAGAGTTTGCCATCATAGAACTGGAGCTACAAGGCTAATTTTCCCACACAGGGAAAAATGATATCTTGGCAACTGAGATCACCTTTAATCTGGACAATATATCAGTGACACTATATTTTGAGTCGTCCTTTTAGATGAAACAAACACTTAACAGACTCAGTAACATGTCAAAAAAACATATGAGTGTTAAGATTAGGTTTTTGGTTGGGGTTGAGGTTAGGGTTAGGGTTAGGGCCAGGGTGAGGATTAGATTTTGGGTTGGGGCTAAGGTTTGGGTTAGGATTAGGGCCAGGGTTAGGATTAGGTGTTCGTAAGGTTGATAAGGTTAGGTTTTGTGTAATGGAAGTAACATAGTGACAATACATCTTCTTAATGTAAGTGATGAATCAGCAGTACATCTATAAGATATTTACTTCAGTGTATTCAGATGCTGCTCTACTGCTGCTTCACTGATATGTTGTTGGTGTGTTACTGATAATCTGTTAAGAGTTTATTAATCATCTACAAAGGACCACTCCAAATAAAGTGTTACCAATATATCTAATATTTCTCAGTATGAGACTGGTGTGAGAATATTACAAGTTTATTTAACTTAATTAGACATGTTGTACCTATTTTAAGTTATTTTATCAAGTGAAATTGTCGTATTCCATCGGCAGATCATTTCGCTCGCTTCAAGTATTGTTTTGGAACAAGCAAAATGATCTGTATTATTTCTTGAAACAAACAAAATGATATGCTAATAAGAATAAGACAGTTTCTAAAGATAAAATGACAAGATAAAAAAAACAATCTAGTATATATATAGATATAAAACTACAAATAGTTTTAAGATGTTTTCACTTGCCATGATATCATTTTTGCAATGTAATGTAATGAAAGACAACTATATATTTACACCATGCATATTGCATCCTTAAATCATCCCACATTTGCCTCAGACCTTTTTGTCCATTTTTATAGACAATCACATTATACAGGGCTGGAAACCACATGGACATGTCTTTTTAAGATTGATTAGCTTCTTTTGGAAGAATCGTTGGACAAGCAGGTGCCTGGGTACTTTTGGACATACAGTGTACAAAAACATATACACAGCTGGTCTTAGCAGCCCCACTGAGACCTGGAGTGAGACCCACAGGTGTTTTCCCCACTTCCTGGGTGAAGCCTTCTGTCAGACAGGCTCTGCCAACCTAGCACTGCTCTCTGGGGTGAAGTTGGCACCAGCATCAGAGGGTCAGTACCGTTCTGTTCCACAGAGAGCACCACCCCTCACGCACCACATCCTTCCACCCTACTGCCGCTCCATCACACATAAATCGCCACCTCCTGCACTGCCCTGCTGGCTGTCTAAGTTTGTCATTGCCAGTCTTACAGCTCACTACAATTCACTTCAGTTATTTTTATTTATTTTCTCAAACAGCCTTTAACTTCATTAATGCGCGTTATCCACTGCGTTGTCTCCAAATTCCTTCTGCGAGGTTTTGAATTTAGAGATGGAAATGAATAATACTTCAGCTCTTTCATAATGAATAACAAAGCCTAGAGAAATCTAGATACAGTAAGAGTCGTTTAGGAAGTCTTATCCATTCCTTTCTTTCTGTCTTTTTACCACTCTTGCATCCCTCATTGGCCTAGACTACTTTGTATAGTTACTCATTTTGCTTTGCTTTCCCATATCCAAGCATTTTAGAACTATATAAGACAAGGAAAAGGGGGCTACATTCATGTTTTACTTCTTTTTCATGGATCTTAGCACATTGAGTATAGCCTTAATGCCTGATATCAAAATATCTGGATGACACCTTTTCTGAGATAACAGTGACCCCTAGTGGTTACTCATCACTATGGATCACAGTGAAAAAAGGTAATGCAGAGGCAATGTGACAAAATAAGCTCCCAATGTCAGCACTGCACAAGACTTGATAGCCTCATGCAGTTTCACACCATGCTGTTGTAAACACTATAGTCGGTATTCCAAGAGCTGATGTTCTAATGAACTACAAAGAGAAGGGTATAAGGATCTTCCTCCACACTGGCACTCATACCTCCATACTCTGATCTCTAGATATTGTTTCCAGGGCCAAAGCCCTTAATTTCTAAACTTCATCTTTAAGGATTACAAGAGTCTTCATTAATGAAGGAACATTCCAGATTCTGGTTCTATCCATAGTTACACATATTAGAGACCTAGACAGCCAGCAGAGGGCGCCGCACTGAACGCTGTGACAAATGAAATGTATTTTTGCTTTCTGAAAAGGACAACGTGATTTTTCTGAATATAAACTTTTGTCTTTGGAAAGAACAAAAACCCAAAGTCACATCGTTTGAGTCTATAGTACACTGTGAACTGTAGTTTCTTAGGACTTTATCCTATGTGTAAACAGAGTCCCTAGTTTAGGTTATTTATAGTCTTATCTAGCAAGCTAACATAGCTAGCTAACATTTGCAAAGGAAACTGACCGTTGGCTACTGCCTCTCTTAGTTACTGTTGCTATGTCCTTTAAACTTTCAGCTCAGGTCACTTGGTAGCATCTGTAGCACTTGTGCTAACAGACTAAAACCCTCAGTAGCAGAAAGGAAAATTTAGAGTTACATAGAGTACATCTGAAAACCTTCTTTAAAAATAAACTGTGTTTACATGATATTCAGCGCAGACGTACATGTTTGAGAACTGATACTAATGTAGGCCAACACAGGCTGAAGGATTCTGGAAGCCATGTTTACAATAATCAGACCAGAGAAATCTTTCAGTACATGTCAAAGCAACAGTCTGTCAAAAATTGCCCCTTCAGGTAATGCTAAAGCTATCACTAGAACCAGAGACATTATAAAAGAGGAGACTGGTTAAAATTTTAATGGGAAATCTTGTTACACTCAACATGGCATCTGTTTGGGGTGAAAGTCCCACCCTTCAAGAAAAAGAGCCGATCAGGTTGCTAGTTATGCTGCAAGCAAGGAAAGCCCCACCATCATAATCTGTGCAAGCGCCGTAGCCAGAACAACCCGAAAAAACACATAACTGAGCCAAACGCTACAAAATATTAATGAGATTTTTGTCCGATTTTATCAGTAATTTCAAAGATGTTTTTGAAATGGTAATTTGACGTGTAGTTTTGATTATTTTGGTATCTGGCCTTACAAAGCGATGTCTGGTATGACTTAAATAACTGCCACTCAATAATGTCTTCCAGGTTTGTCAAGCACTAGAGGGCGCTCCCGAGCAAGTCCATAATGAATGGGTTAATATAAGCAAAATCATAGTTTGTAAATGCTTCAATACTTTTATATAGAAGAGTACATTCATTTCCTGAACACAGAACAGCATAAAGCATTTAACAATCCAGTTATATTTTAAGCGCTTTTGAACTCCAGTTATAGGACTTTATAACGGTGCCTCATGTACTTTCATGAGCGCAAACTACTTCATTCAGCCAATGAGCTGCTCTGCTCGCCAAGCCAGTCGGCACCTAGTAGCAGTAACGGTAGCGTTGTACTGCCCAAAACCCATTTGTTGTAGAAAAAAGGAAATATACAGCTAAGTTTTCTTTGCTTTTTTAGTGAAATACATCCTTTTACTTTCTAAGATTAAAGGAAGGTCTTGGACAAGTGGTGAGAAACTATTTTAAAAACTTTTTGTTTTTAGCCAATTAGCTCCATTAGCCCTTATTCATTCAGGACTCGCTTGAGAGAGCCTTCTGGCATTTTACAGTCATGTTTTTAATATACCAGGAGAAATTGGAAGTGGCCAGGCTCTTGAACCAGCTCTGGAATAGACTTTTCTACATGGTCTTAGTTAAAGCCTTTAGTGAAGTGAACACTGGAGCCAAGAAAACGTATGTTTCTGTAATGTTATTTATCTGTAGACATGATATTAAAATGAGTGTCAGCAGACACAGTAACACAGTCTTAGTTTATCCTGGAGCTTGTTAATAATGTCAAGTAGTGACTGTGTTTCCACAGTTTATACCGAAAAAGATCACCAAATGATCAGGATAACATGTTGGCTAACTAACTTAGCTAATGGATCTTCAAATAGCTAGCAGTAAATTACATAGACAAACTAACTCATAATTTTTAACTTGGATATTAAGACATATCTGGAATGTCTTATCTTAAACAGGAAAACTCTCATTTTAAATGTTAGACAACCATTTATTTTACTACATAAAGACGGAGTTTGGCAGTCTAGTGGCTGCACATAAATAACGTCATGCTGTCTAGGCCTCTAATATGTGTGTCTGGTTTTATTCCCACAAATTATGCATAATTTCTGACCACCACCCTCACAGATATGACGCTCTTGTTTCTGTATCTTCGCCTGCTGTTTCCGCATAAAGTAATGGCACAATGGCATTATTTTAGACTGATACATAAGAGGATAAATCATATCTTATTTGCAAGACAATCGTCCAGCTAATCTACCACTAGTGTAACCCACTGTATACATGCGTATCAGGTCATCTTGTATAGTATAGATAATTACGAGCTTGCATGGCAACTGTATTTCCAGTCACTAGGGGGTTTTGTAGGATTACTATGTGCCCCGAAAGAATAGAAAGAGCCTGCCACGATCATCAGAGCTAACTCATTACAACCTGCTTGTGTATATACAGGTTCAGCATTAAAGGAATATATCACCTAAAGGTGTTAGCTTGGCTAACGATAGCAGAAAGCTAAAGGGTACCAGTTCTCATGACTTCACTTTCATACTGTTAACTGGCCTCCATTAGCTTTCACACATTATTTAGCAACATTAGCATTTCTGAGTAAAATATTCCTTGAATATTCATTGCACGTGTATCCATGCTTAAAAGCACACCAGAAATTGCAAATAGTCGACTTCTTTCTAGTGCAAGCTGTACATATTTACTGTATCTTTACTTCTGGTTGGCACTAAAGTTGTTCGGGACCATGCAGAATCTATTGCAACTACTAAATCTTCCTATGAAATCACACAGTAAGACACTATGTGGTTTAAAAAAGCAACATTTAAGTGACACTAAGCACAGTGAAAATCTGTTCTTCCTGCTCAAAGATATGACTGATTTCCTACTAGAGTATTTCTACTATATACAACAAAGGCTGATGTCTCTTGAGACGCTAAGTAGGTTTATTTTATTAATCTGTCACAACTAAATTCTGTATGCAATACAAAGTCAAGCAGAGAGAGATGGATACTCAGACTATCAAGTGAATCTCC